GGAGAGTTAATTATGCAAAAAATCAGTATTTATAAAACCCAATCAGAATAGTTGTAAGTGGCATTTTTCTTTGTGGCAACTTCCCTATATGTGTAAATAATAAATCAATTGTTTACACATATAGGAAAGGGCTGATCAACATTTTTTAAATTTATATATGTTCTGACTACTTATCTACCTTTCCACATTTGTTTCCGTCTACCTGTTTGCCTGTCTACCTGATTGTCTGTAAACTTTTTTTCTGTCTTTAAATGTATCTGTTTACTGGAGTGCCTATTTACCTGTTTACATATTTACCAATCTACTTGTTCACCTGCCCACCAGTCAACTTGTCTACCAGATTACACATCTGTCTACATGTTTCCTCATCTACTCTGTTACCTGATTATCTGTTCACTTGTATAACTGTCTAGCTGTCTACCTGCCTATGCATCTACCAGTTATACACACATGCAACATACACCAATACAGGCATACATCAATTTTTTTTGAGGTGTCCCAAAATGTTCAGAATATTTTGAAACGTTAAGATAATGGAAAAAAAATATTATTGATATTTTATTTTATCTTGATTATTATGACTTACCTTATGCGAAGTGGAGTAAAGAAAACATTCGATGAAATAAGAGAAATTGGTGCAATTTGTCATGGGTTAGTTCGCATAATCAGTATTTTTAAAAAAATTGAATTTATCCACCTTTTTCATAAATTTTCAAAATTTTCATAATTCATTCCCGAAGTACCAGCCTAACATGGAGTTGCTCCACAAGGCATTAGGGAATGAATATCGAACAGTTGGTTTATTCGGTTTATTCGGTCGCCCTTTGAAGTTCGTTTATGATTAATTTAATTGCTAATCAATCGAGCAATTAAACGAGGGCGTATTTTAATTGTACACACGTTCACTCGCATACGAGCAAACATAAATGAAAATAACACACGAAAAACTAGGACATAACAAACACGATCCGAGTTAAAGCCGAGTGCAAATAAAGTTGAAAGCATTTCAAATATTTTGTTGTAATATACGAGGTGTGAATAAATTATTCGAAACTTTGATTATAATAGATGGATATAGTAGCACTTGATAAGGGGGATGAAAAATATAATTTAAGGAAATATATAATAATATCTTTTGATAAAATTAGATTCTGAAAAAAATTAAATCATTGTAAAATTATCAGGCCGAGCAAATCTAATAACTCCACCAAATAACTTTTTTTTTTGTTAGTAAAAAAGCTGTAAGTATTATTTTAGTAAATTAAAATTTAATTGGAATTAAGTTGGAAGTTAGTTATAATCTAGTTACTATAGGAGTTAGATTTTTTTCCTATTTTTTTTTAATTACAATATTTGTAGGAACTTCTAAATATTTTCGCATCTAGTAACAATAATGAACAATAACATAATTTTAAATAAAAAAGGAGTACAAAATGTAGGATAGTATTTTTATTTAAATAATATCCTTAGTATTATGACTTAATACAAAATAAAGTTAAAATGGTAATAATAATAATAAAATTAATGAATAGAATAAATAAAATTTGTAAATAATAAAAATAATATTAGAAAAATAATAAAGTGGATCAAAAACAATAAGTTACAGATAATAATAAATATAACAAAATAATAATATTAGAAATAATAAGACAATAATAATAATATAATAATAATAATATAATAATAATAATATTAATATTAGCGTTTACAAATAGCTATTTATGAAATCATTGCGAATTTTTCCTTTTAGCGGAGTTAGATTTTAAAAATATTTTTCTAGTAAGAATTTAGTGGGAATCCAGTAAGTAGAATCGACTCAAAATCTATTAGTAAGAATCTAGTTAGAATGAAGACAGGATCAAGTCAGTTTCAAATCGCAATCAAATCATACCAAGATAGTTTTAAGGTAGAATCAAGTTTGATTCGTGTTGAAATCGAATTTTCAAAATCGACTTAACATTATTTGCCCTTTTCTAATTTCAAAAAATGACTTAGCTACATTTATTTAGTTTATCTCTGTGTTTAATCCAATGATTTTTAAATTTGGGAAATCGGTTCAACCGTTTTTGAGAAAACGTTAACGAAATTCAAATTTTGACTAGTCACATCACAAAATCGAATCCTTGCTCAAATTTTGACTCAGCATATTTTTTAAAACGTTGATTTTTTTTAAATTTAACTACTTAGCGTGAAGTTGCAAAATATTAGTATGCTTTATAAGATCATGATTTCTATCGTCAAAAAAAGTTTCATAAAAATAGTCAAAAATAAAAGTGGGAGTGTGGTTTATATATCCAATTATTGTGAAATATTATTTGAATGAAACAAAAATTACCCATTATTGTCTGCATGAACAATTATTTGAATGCAACAAAAATGATTTTTTATTCCCAATCTATCTATCAAAAGTCACGTTTCAAAATCACATTTTCCACTTTTGAGCAATTACAACAAACAAAACCCATTATAACTAATAATACAAAATGTAATTGCCAAAGTCATTGGAAAATGTTATTTATTAGCATGCAGATGCCAGGCCATTCCGGCAATTACATGTAAAATAAAGAGCAAACGCAAATGAACTGAATTTAATTACTGTGCAACTGAAAATGAAAATGTGAAATTATTTGCTACAATCACGTTTTCGCAACAAATGTCGCAGAGAAAACATTTATGTAATTATTAATTTAGTTTTGACATATGCACTCGTATGTGCACGTTTTGAGCTGGACTAGAGTTGGTTTAATATGAAAACTATTGTCGTTCGTATTCATTTTATTTATTTTATATGGTAATAAATCATTTGTAAAAGTGAATATGCAAATTGTTTAATCGTAAAAACATAAATTGAGTAAAATAATAATTTGCATTGTGGATATGTCTCTTTGTCCTTTTGTGACATATTTATTGCAAATAATACTTTGTTAATTTTATATACAACAGTATAGACCTCTTGTTCTTAGTTCTCACATTTATATCTCATTTTACTCTAGTAGAATTTCTCACATCAATTGAATGCTTTATATTTTCTCAGTCTTGGGAACATAAAACATTTGCTAAAAGTAAAAGCACGCAATTACAAAATATATCAGTTTCTGATGCTGAATTGATATCGGAAAATGATACCATATGTAATTAAATACAAGTGTAATTGAAATCAATCAAGATGAAATGGCGCTAAAAGTAATGGCTTCATAGCCTCATTTTTAAAAGCAACGTATTATATGTCGGTTGTGAAAAGTTACACATGTTATTTGTTATATATATATATATATATATATATATATATATATATATATATAAACATTTTACTTGTGTTGACTATGTGAAGAAATGATTAGATTTTAGGTGAGGCAGACCCAGTGATTGCAAAATTTTCAAGTCAATTTTTTTGTTAATTTAGAATTTGCCAATCTCTTTTTAACATCGAAAAAAATTTAGATTTTAATTCAGTTTTTATAATTCTTAGAAATATTAGATAAGGCTTTTTAATGCATAATGAAATATGAAATAAGGCTTTTCATTCTAACTAGGCTTGATTGGGTTTTTCTTTTCTTGCAAAAGTCGTCTTATTTATTAACCTTTATATTTTGTCTATAAAAACAAATACCTAAAAATACAGCATTTAAAAAAATCATTTTACAATTATAGAAACAATTGTTATTTTTTCTCGTAGAGTAAATTATAGAAACTTTGGCACACTTTAGAAAAAATGAATGTGTATGTGTATGTGTGGAGGAATTTATTGTCGACGATTTGGGCCTATGGATGATTTGAAATATTCTAAAAGCAATCGATTCCTATTGATATGGAGATGTGCTGATTAGTTTCTGGAGAAGCCAGGATAGCCATTCTGAAGATACGGGACAAAGGTGCCAAAAACGGTGACTCAGTTTTTAAGAGAACGGAGCGATTTTAATAATTCAAAAAACATTTTACTTGTATTGACAAGATGAAGAACTGATTAAATTTTTGGGAAGCGATTTTAGACTCTCAATGAAAATAAGTTAAAAAAATCTATTTGGCGGTCAAAAATGTTTATTGGACATTTGAACATCAAATTATCAGATATTTTATAGAGACTTTAATAATGTGTACACATTTTGTGTAATTTTTTTTGGATTCCGTACCGAGGTTTTCAATTACGGTACGGGAAGTTCCAGCAATTTGCCTTAAAGCACGATGCCATGTGCCCCACTACTTTTTCAAATAAAATCAACCCCATGGCAAAATCTTGATGAATCAGATTCATCCAGGAGCAGTTTCTCCATAATGAACCCAGTCTAGTCCCTTGTGTGCGCCTCGATAAGTAATTAGCTCTTAACCGAAATGCAGCGCTGCCGACACGACACTACGTCGCATACGTACGCAGGTGTAAATAATTCCCAGTCATTAGTGCATCGTGTTATAGGAGGGTAGGATGACGTAGATAGTCGTCGAGAAAGGTAACGGGAACCTCTCATCGTTCACCACTACTCTAGGATAAGTAGAAGCTTTGCCGAGTCTTCTCTATTCCCACATGGATGCAGGAGAAGGACTTATTCAGGTTGTGAAATGATATAAATTGAAAGTTAATGTTAGGAAAATTGGGAAAAACTAGTGGTGCGCATGACATTGTGCCTTAAGGCAAATTGCTGGAACCGTACCAAACATTAGAATTTTGAAAAAATCTTCAAAATTTTTTAGAAAACTTCGAAAAAAAAAAAGATTTTTGAGAATTTTTGAAAAAATTGACTTTTCTGAAAAAATTGTTTTTTTTATGTTTTGAAATATTTTTCATACTTTGATTTTTTCTGAAAATTTTGAACTTTTTTCAAAGCAATCGTGCCCTGTGTCTGTTTCAGAGAAGAAATAACGAAAAGCATAAGCGCCGTGTCTTAAAAATATACTCATCATAAAAATCTTTATGAAATATTTGAAGTAATTCATATTTTATTTAAGCACAAGTTATTATTCCATATTATAATTAAAAATTATCATTTTTTTCTTTTATGTTTCAGATAACAAATTGGTAATCGGTGATTTCAAACAAAGGTCAGTGCATTTTCATTTCTAGGCATGTTTTCTAAGGGTACGTCACACTTCTCGTTGTGGATTCACAAAACATATTTTTTATTGAATTCTATCGACTTTCTAATTCAATTTGGATCTTTGTCATCATTTTTCTATGTCGATCGCGAGAATGTAAGTAATATAATTTTTTGTTAATGAATTTGGGAACAAATTTATGGAAATTTACAAAAAAAATCCACAGCATCCATGTGAGTCTACACCTGATATTTTGAATTAATGTGCGTCAGTCGCCAAATCTATTATTATAAACGAGCATTTCTTTTAATATTTTCAAACATAAATTCTCCATTTTCCATCCTACATTCTGATAGAAAAATTTCATCGTAAGATGATGCCGAAACTATTGGATGCATTCGCAGAAGTGGGATGCACCGGTGATCGCCAAATGCATCGTTGAAGGATGCGTTCGCCGTTCGCCGTTCGCCGTTCGCCGTTCGAGGCGAGTAGAAGCCTCAAAGTGCATTAGTTAGCTATCATATTACCAAAGACTTCGACGTAAACGCTGAAAGCTTCGTGAATTTCCTACGCCATGTCTAAGAGACACATGATCATGCTACTGGGCTATTTGCAAAGTGAGAAATTACTCAGGACGGGGGAAATATGTTGTAATCTGTTCGAACTGACAATTTAGAGTGTGGGGTAAAATGACTAGTCGGTATACTTTGTAGATAATTATTAAGACTTATAAATTGAAGTTATCATAATATAGACTTCTTCTTTTTATTCTTCTTCTTCTTCACTTTAAGTGTAAGCTTTTCCTGGTTTATGAAAATACATAATTTGTTTGAGTTCCTCGCAAATAGTCATAACAAATCACTGTTCATTTCAATGATAAAAACTTAATTTACTGCTGAAAATATAATAGTTAAACAAGCAAATAATCACGCTGATATAGTAATTATTGAAACATCGATAGAGCAATTTAATGTGACAAATAGTACTATCATTGTTGGTGAAGATATTGATTCACTCGTCTTACATACTGATCGAACTCCAACTGAACAAATTATTTATTTTTTTAAACCAAGAAAAGCTTATACTCAAAGTGAAAAAGAAGAAGACGAAGAAGAAAAAGAAGAAAAGAAAAAGAAAAATGAAGTTAAAGAAGTGAAAGAAGTAAAAGAAGAAAAATAAGTAAAGGAAGAAAGGGAGAAAAGGAAGAAAAGGAAAAGAAGAAAAGGAAGAAAAGGAAGAAAAGGAAGAAAAGGAAGAGAACGAAGAAAAGGAAGAAAAGGAAGAAAGGGAAGAAAAGGAAGAAAAGGAAGAAAAGGAAAAAAAGAAGTAGAAGAAGTAGAGAAGAAGAAGAGAAGAAGAAGAAGTCGAAGAAGAAGAAGTCGAAAAAGAAGTAGAAGAAGAAGAAGTCGAAGAAGAAGTAGAAGAAGTAGAAGATCAAGAAAAACGATACGAAAAAGATGTAGAAAAATTTGAAAATTAGACTCCCAGGAATAAATTTAGTTGCTCTTTTATAATTACAGCCTTTATTTTTGCCAACCCAAATTCACAAATATTATTTTCCAAGACTTTCGAAACAAACAAAATCACAATAGGCCCGTGAAAAAGGCCTACTGGAAAAACCACGTAAAAAAATTGAGCTAAGCACTACCTCGTTTAAACGTACTTTTCAAAGTGATATATCATTAAAACGCTAGCTCTGAGCAAAAAAAGTATTGATGCATTTTTGTAGGTCATTTTATGCTTTACAATATTGTCGTACGTAATTTTGCGATAAAACTGACCATTTAGCTAAAAATCACAAAAAAGTCTTTTTTTACCTTTGACCTTGTGCCATTTTTTTTTAGCTTGCATCGGATCGACGAGGTTTTTTGAGATTTCCTCCATAATTGTATTTTAAACAATTTTGCCAAGTTACAGCCCATTATGATTTATTGTAACCTTGAATGCGTAAATTGACCTCGATAAATGCTTTATCTGATGTCTATTGGACGAAAATTTGGTTGAATGTCAGTGCGGATACAATTTTCCGTCAACGATTTTGAGAACACAGCTTCTGATTCCTATTGATGAGAAGACGTGCTGAATAGTTTAATGCTTGAGTGGCTACCTTTTTTGAACCTGTTTGAGAATATATAATACTCACATAATCAATACCTCAATTAAAAATTATTTAACTCGCAGATTAGCTCTTAAATCAACTCTAACAAAAGTTTTCAACTCCCACAAATAGAGTTGGCTATGCACAGATTAGCCAGTGAAAATAACTACGGTCTATTATCAAGGAGACGGTTTCGAATACGTTATCTGATATCCATTGGAAGTCGATCCTGTAGCAAAGTTGAACTTAATTCTCTTACAAGCAAATTACAGGGAATGGCACACATCGTGAGACAAAGGATAAAAGTTTTAAATTTGACATAGTTTTGGATGAAAGATAATATGGTTGGTGTATAGTGAATGTAGGTGCACTGCTTTAAAAAAATTGGTCGTAGTTCTTTGTAAATAATTCCCACTCGAACATTACACGATTCTTTTCTTTTAGTAATTATCGTGTCTCGATTATGTTATCAGTAAACCATTACAAATTCTCTTTTCCACCATCTAACCCACTTATAAGCAAATTATCTTGGCGGCAGCGTGCACCTGCAAAGTGCACCCGGAACTTTCCTGTCCATACAAGGAGGTAGCTAATCCGATTTCTAATCAAGTAGAGTACATTTGATACTTATGTAATGTACATTATATAAGTAGTTTCATATAAGTAAGATGCACTTATCTATATGCCGGTAACAATACCCGAGTGACTATATTTGCAGCGACTTTACATTGTTAGCGAATACTTACGGAAGAGCTGCCGGAATATTCAATATAAAAAATAAACAGAAAACGGAAATAAGTGGTATTGAATTTCCCATGCAATGTCTTAAGGAAACGACATTTTATATAAAATAATATTTTTATGAAAATTCTTTTGTAGGAAAAGTCTGATGCGAGTGCATGGAAGAAAAGTTAATTTAATGCTACTTAATGGCACTGTCAAATTTAAAGTCAAAGGAAGATATTTTATTTTTAATGCGGTATGGACATTTTGGAACATAAATTAAAAACATTATAAAACGAAAATTTTTTTTTTATTTTTTTTATTGGCCTCGCTTACTCAGAGCATATAGCAACTAACAATACTTTGCAATATAGAAATGTAGGCTATTTTTTATGCATATTCTATACTTGCTTATATACAAATAAATCCTTCATTCTTCTTTTTTTTTAAATCTCATCTTCTTCATTGCAAATCTAACCTTTTTTTAAAGTTAAGTTATAGTAATCGTCCAAAAATCGAAAATGAAAATTTTTGCATATCTGTACCTAGAATTAATGGGTATTCAAAACTCGAGAAATTTCAAAATTTTCAAACAAAACAAATATCAGCTTTCAAAAAAAATTGCGTATCTTTACCTAAAATTAATGGATATCCTAAACTCAAACTAAAAAAAAAACAAGTATGATCTTTCAAAATAAATTTGCATATCTTCACCTAGAATGAATGGGTATCCATCTCAAGAAATTTCAAAATTTTCAAAAAAAAAAACAAACAAACAAACATGAACTTTCAAAATAAATTTGCATATCTTTACCTATAGCGCATGGGAATACAAAACTCAAGCAATTTCAACATTTTCAGAAAAAAAACAAACATCAGCTTTCAAAATAATTTTGCATATCTTTACCTAGATTGAATGGGTATCCGAAAGTCAAGAAATTTCAAATTTTCAAAAATATATCAAAAAAAAGTATTTAAAAAAATCTAATTTTTTAAAAAATTTCATGATTTTTAAAAAGGCAGTTTTTCATTTTTTTCAATATTCAAATTTTCAAATTTTCTTAAAAATTGAAAAAATTTAATTCTTCTATTTATAGAACTCGTGCTGTTTTATAAATAAATGATTTATAAACAAAAGTGATTATGGTAATATTATCCAGAAAATTAGTGGAGTGCATGGCATAAGGCAAATTGCTGGAACTTTTCGTATTGTAATCAAGAATCTTGGTAACGTACCCAAAAAAATTTACACAAAATTTGTACACATTATTAAAATCTTTATAAAATAATTTGGTAAACATATGTCCAATAAACAGTTTTGACCGCCAAATGACATTTTTTAACTTACATTTAAGAGGCTATAACCCTTAGACCTGCCTTCCCAAAAATTTAATCAATTTTTTATCTTATGAATACAAGTAAAATGTTTTATAAATTATTAAAATCGGACGCTCCGTTCTCTTAAGAACTGAGTTAGCATTTTTGGCACTTTTATTGGAAATTATTTTTACATTGATCATGGAATTACCATTTATAAAATTTATAATGAGAAATCATTGACAAAGTATAAATAGATTGCAAACACGACCGATTCACCATTACTTTAATTTTAGTTGTTTCCATACACCATAACGCACGTAAATTTACCCCCAGGTTCAATTCTGGTTAATATTTATATGAATATATAATATAGAAAAGATAAACATGATTAATTTGAATTGAAATTAGTATATTTATATATTTTTATATTTTCTACTAAATCACCAATATGTTCTCATAAAAATATATAACAAAAAAATATTAAGTACGTGTAGTATCAGTATCAGTTATTTATATTGAAATTACTCAAAAGAGTAATGAGGCACACACCCTCTGTAGAGTGCGGAAAACACTAAAACGGGTCAGGCACATTTATTCCGAGATTACTTCTCTTCTAGGAATCATATTTGATATGCATTTTTAGACTACATATTACAATTATTTAATAAAAATTTATCATTTTTCTATCTCTGTCCCTTAAAATTTTTCACCTCCACTAAATGCACTACAAGTAACGAAAAGGTGCACCGCGCTTCGGCGCTAGCGAGTGTTGAGTTTTGAGCTGCTGGTTCTTTGATACTTACTAAAAGTAGCCCGTCTAACTTCTCTTGAAGCATAAATTCAATAAAATTGTAAATTTCATTAG